CCCCCACCACCACCCCCAACACCTGCTCCACCGCCACCGCCACTACCCGCACCACCTCCAGTACCTCCGCCGCCCTTCCCGCCCTTCTTACCGGCCTTGCCACGTTTCTGTCCGCCAGAGACAGAAACAGCCGCCGTCTCCTCAGAGGCAGAAGACGCGGGGGTGGCAAGGGAGGCAGTGAAGGTGGGAAGCTGTGGTACCGCACACCCCTCAAAAAGACGAGGAGGAGGCGCGGAAGAGGCAGAGGCAACAGCGAGGAGGTTACTCTCGATCTTCGAGAGAGCAGTCTCAAGAAGATCGATGGTAAGCTCAGTGGGGTGCTTCAGAAGAAGCGCGTCGCGGGCTGTGGCTAGGCGGTCAGGGAGGCGAGTGACTAGCCAGTGAATAGTGAGCCACATAGGGGGCGGGGCAAGGGCAAGCTGGTCCTCAGTGCAAGCAGCGCGAAAGCGAGCGTCAAGGGAGCGAATGTGTGTAACGAGGTCAGAGACAGTCTCAAAGGAGGCGAGGTCAGGGTAGATAAAGGGGACGAGGAGGCGACTGAGTGAAGCAGAGGAGGGAGTGGAGTAGCGATCAACAATAGCCTTATACAGATCTGCAGCAGACTCGACCTGAGTGAAGTGGACTGCCTCTGTCGGTGGGATAAGGTCGGTCAGGGCGAGGCTGGCAGTGGCGTCACGAGACTCCCACACGTCGCGAGCGAGGAACTGGCGCCGGTACTCGGCCTCCTGCTCAGGAGTAGGCGGTGGGGTAGTGGGCAGCAGGCTAGGCTGCGGAGGAGCGGTCTGAGTACCGGACGCGTGTGCGAACAGGTGCACGCCATCCTGCCGCTGGCTCTTAAGGTGGCACTGCGCTTGCGTAAGCCACGTACTAAAGTCTATGGGTCTCCCCTCAGGGTCAAAACGAAGTACTCGGGAGGTCGCCATAAGGGGCGAAAGTGGGAGAGCGCGGCTGCCAGCCGCGGGAGGGTGAGACAGTTAGTGGCGTGTGGGCAGGTGCGCAGGCGTGCAGGCGGGCAGGTGGCGCGGCGTGTCTACGGGCGGGCGGCGCTGCACGCTGGCGGGCTCGCTGACGTTTGCGCTGGCGGGCGCACGGGCGCGCGTGTTTGCAGGGCGCGCTGGCGTGGGGCGCTAGCGGGGCGCGCTGGCGGGCCTGCTGGCTAGGGCGCTGGCGGGCCTGCTGGCTAGGGCGCTGGCGGGCCTGCTGGCTAGGGCGCTGGCGGGCCTGCTGGCTAGGGCGTGTAGGGCAAACGGGGGGAGGGGGCGCACCGAGGCTAGAGACTAAGTGGTAAGAAGGGCGGCGACTAGGTGTGGCCTAGGAACGGCGAACCTACTGCTGATACCATCTCACAAAGTGAAAACAGCGGAATGAGTTAGATTGACTGTGTTGGGGTACAAATGCCTAACCCTAACTATTTGTACCCCATATAGCATGTCCCACTAGAGGCTATAACATTTGACACGGATCTACTAACCAGGATGCTTTGTGTGACCGCAACGCACCCAAGAAGGTCCCATCACACGCGGTATAGTGGCATTTTGACCCAAGGCGGTTAGTAAAGGTTTTATACGTAACAACTAGTGTTTATTTGTTCAAAACCGGTTCGGAGTGAAATATTTGCTGCAACCGAGCATGGGCAACGATGCTCCATCCGAGGATGTCGGTCAATGCACAGAGACTTGGTCAGGAAATTTTGATGTGGCATCCTTCGCCTCAAGCGACTTCTTGCAAACACAAAGAATTAGTCAGTATTTGTTCAGTCATACCGTAATGCTGGCACCATCCGTGATGATTCCTGAAATCATCTGCAGTTCAACACCGGCACTCTTGAGATGCGTGAGCAACACTGTGAGCAGAGAGGAGTCACATTTTTCAACCGTTAAATTCCCAATTAACTATGTCACCACCTTCGCGTTCATCACAGAAGTGAGGTAAACGATAAGATCTTTACTGTGCCGCCGATCGGTGTTCTCGTTTAGCTGATTTCCCACCAAGGGAGATTCCTGGATGTGCCACATCTGACACGCCTTAAGGTGCTTCACCATCGCCCTAATCATCTCCCAAAGTCCATACCTCACAAATGAACACTAGAGAACGATTAGTTGTTACAAAAGCACAAGTTTTGAGTCACACGTACAAAACACGTACTCATATTAATAGGTGCAATCGCCTTGTCCGGAATGTAGGTTGCTCTTGCGGTCGTGCAGCAAGTGTACAGGAGACACAAAATCTGAGCATTGGGTCATCTCCCCTCCTCGTCTTTAAAATCCTCACTTCCATGCTGAGCAAACCCCACACCATCAGCTATTGTTTTCGGGTCAAGGGCATCCTGATTCTTTCGGCTCATACCATGCTTGCCAGTTGTACGGCCTCTATGTCATGCCAACTGTGCACTTCATACAAGGCCGGCCATCCTTACACTGGGAAATCACCAGCAATGGGAACCGCCAAATCTAGATGATGTTGCACTTCGCTAGCATCTCTACGAGAAGACTATCTGGATCAGGTACCAACACCATCGACGTGATAGTTCCTGGATCTGGAGACGGTGTAGTGCCATCAATAGCAGCAGGCTGCAGAGATGTTGAAGCTGTGGGCCAAGCTCTTGACTGCTAAGGCGTGTGTGAGGAACTCAAGTAGACGCAAATTGGAGGGTATTCTGTGTGTAGCGGCCTATTTTGGGAAATTAAGCTATGCCCGCACAACGGACTGCACTAACAGATGAGGTTGCAATATGGCCCATGTTTGTTGTTGGAGTTTCTTGGAAAAGGGGGTCATTAAGAGCCTGGCGCTTGTTAACCTCAGGCCACGGCTCTGGGCTCTGGACAGGAGCAGGTGGGGGTTGGAGGCATTGCTCTAGGCTCTGGATGGTAACACAGGAGGCAATGGAGGTTGCGGACCTCAAAGGAAATAAAAGGCCCATAAGCGGGGTATGCCGGTGACTAGAGATTCCCGGGTCGGACCGCTGGGCACTGGCATGGTCATCATCGCCATCGTCATCCATCACGAGCGGGCCCTGAGAGTATGACGATGGGGTGCACAACTGGTAGACTTAGGAATAACAGGGAGAACATCCAGAAAAGAAATGGATGAACAAGAACGGACACATTTGCCAACCCTTCTCAGGAGCATGCCCCAGTTAGAATCTAAATGGAACGAATGAATGCATTAAGCAGAAATGAGGTACATATATGCCTAACCCTAATTGGGTTGTACCCCTTATGGGCTACCCCACTATAGCCTACACAAAATATTTTGACACACCCCCACAGGCAAAGTGGGGGAGAACAGGCGGTCACAAGACCAGTCAAGAGAAACAAAGCAAGCTCAGGGTGGATCGCGAAGTCACGAAGCAAAAGGCCACAAGGCCAGTTCACATGCACAGTTATATAATTTAGGCAAGCAGTACAGTGATCACAACCTAGCAAGTGTAAGCATGTAGGGATATATATAGACCACAGTACAAACAAGGTCAAGAAGTGAGCAAGTGAGAAAACGTAGGCACGAGGCCTAAAGCAGTATAGAGAAGCTGATGATCACCAGGCGAAAGTGCCTTGGTGAAGATATCAGCTGTGTTGGCGCGAGTGGCCACGTAAGCTAGACAAAGCTGGCCACGCTGCTGCAACTCTCGAGCAAGGAAGTAACGTAGAGCGATGTGCTTCGTTCTGTGCTCCAGTCTGTGCTCCTCACACAAGGCAATAGCGGCCTTGTTGTCGACGTACAGAACTGGAGGAGAACTAGGCCGCTCTCCCAAGTCGGTCAGCAGGTAGGTGAGCCAGCGTAACTCCTGTGCAGCCATGGCTGCGGCGTAGATCTCAGCCTCACAACTGGAGCTGAGAATAGAAGATGAGCAGGTGGACCGCCAAAAAACAGAGCCGGAACCAAGGCTGAAGGTGTAACCCTGTGATGACCGCTGTGTACCAAGGTCGTCAACCCAAGAGGCGTCTGAATGTCCAGTGAGGACAATGTCACCACGTCCTCCAAGCATCAGCCCCATACCCGATGTACTGCACAAGTAGCGCAGCACCCTCTTAGCAACCTCCCAGTGCTCTCAGCGGTGTCTACAAGGCGCAACGTAGCGAGCCACGATGCTAAGAGGGTATGCAAGGTCAAGTCGAGTGCAGGTCATCAGGTACATGAGGCAGTCCACAAGCTCTGGATACGGGCCACTCGGCTCTACGGACTCGTTCGAAGGTGGAGCTGAGAGCGAGTGACCGGTAGGCAGAGGAGTGGACTGTGGTGAGGAGAACTAGAAGCCGAAGCGCTGAAGGACCTGCTACACCATGTGTGACTGAGTCAGGGTGATGGTGCGGCGTGCTCGGTCCCGGGTGATCTGCAAGCCAAGGTAGCTGCGCAACTCACCCAGGTCTGTGTACGTGTGTCTCTTCTGCAGCTCCGACTTTACAAGGGCGAGTGCCTCAATGTCGGCAGTGGCAAAGACCAAGTCGTCGATGTACACGAGGATGTAGAACGGCGGCAGCAAAGTGTCGGTGCGCAGAAACAGCGATGGGTCAGCAGTCCACGGAGCAAACCTGAGAGCCGCAAGCGTAGCCCTCAGTGTGTCGTGCCACTCACGAGGCGCCTGGCGGAGACCATAGACTGGCCGCCGGAGGCTCCACTGGGTACCTGCAGGAAACAACCCAGTGAAGCCAGGTGGGCGGCGCAGCCAAATCTCCTCGTGCAGGCTGCCCTGTAAGAAGGATGTGCTGAAGTCAAGAGAGTGAAGCTCGTAGTCACGCTGACCGACAACGTGCAGCAGCACCTGAAGAGTGGTCATCTTCGGGGTAGGGGAGAAGGTCTGAAAGAAGTCAACTCCCTGTCGCTGACTGAAGCCTCGTGCAACGTAACGCGCCTTGAAGACAGGAGGAGAACCCGGCGGCCGCTTCACCCTGAAAATCCACATGCCATCGACAATGTTCGCTCAAGGAGGAGGAAGACACTGCGTCGACGTAGGTGCCTGTGGACTTCCAGGATGCCATCTCTGCGTCCATGGCTGTCTGCCACTAAGAGGAGTAGGGACGCGTGATCGCCTCTGCGAAGGAGCGTGGGGTCAGGATGTCCAGTGCATCCGGGTCTCCCTCAGGTGCAAGCAGCCAGGCTACGAGATGAGGTACAGCAGCCGCAAGACACTCAAAGTCCTCCTGCCTGTCCTCAAGGACGTCCGTGCCAAGAGCACACTCACCCCCGACAGACGGAGGACAGACAGACTCAGACTCACCAACGGGACTGGCGACGTAGTCTAGACGACAGGCAGCAGCAAAGTCCACAAGCTCAGCAACTAAGGCAGACGCAGTAGTAGACTCAAACGACGGGTCAGTGACAACAGTAGCCAGGAGACGCGTGACAGTAGGGCTGGCAGCACGAACACGGTTAGACTGAGGGTCAGGAATCTCAGGAAGAGAGGACGCAGGAGGAGACGGCAGAGGGACGCGCTGTGGAGCAGTGGAAGGACGAAGTGCCATAGTGTGAGTACCTGGCACAGGAGGAGGACGCGGACGCGGGACACGACGAGCAGTGCGAACAGGGGAGTCAAGACGAGACGCAGGCCCACGACGCTCTGGCTGCTCAGTGTAACGAGACGGGGCAGGCAGCGGTGAGTCCGGAGGAAGGGCAGTGGACGAAGGAAGACTAAGAACCTGACGGAGTACCGACTCGGGCGGAAGCTCAAACAGCTGCGGTGACGGCAAGAAAAACGGTCGCTGTCGCGCAAGGCCTCCAGCTCCAGCACCTCCAGCGCCAGCACCCCTAGCGCCAGGGCCTCCAGCTCCAGCACCTCCAACTCCAGTGTCGCCAGCTCTAGTGTCCCCAGCGTCAGCGCCTCCAGCTCCAGCACCTCCAGCTCCAGCGCCTCCAGCTCCAGCACCTCCAGCTCCAGCGTCGCCAGCTCCAGCATCACCAGCTCCAATGCCGCGAGCTCCAACGTTGCCAGCGTCAGCGTCGCTAGCTCCAGTATCTCCAGCTCGAGCGCCTCCAGCGCGAGCAGCTCCAGCTCCAGCGTCGCCAGCTCCAGCGCCTCCAGCTCCAGCGCCTCCAGCTCCAGCACCTCCAGCACCAGCACCACCAGCCCCAGCAGCACTACTCCGAAGGTGGGAGCGCCGAGCAAACCACTCGCGCAGCTGCTGTGGTGAGAGGGGCCCCCGCTGGGGAGACTTCTGCGGCGAGGCACCCGGAAGACCACCAGCTGACGTAGCACCCCCAGGCTCAGCACCCTCAGGCTCAGCACCCCCAGGACTCTCACGCTCAAGCGCAGTACCCCCAGGCTCAGCTCGAGTAGCTCCAGCGCCAGTGCCTCCAGCTCCAGTGCCTCTAGCTCCAGTCCCTCCAACGGCAGGACCTCCAGCTCCAGCGCCTCCAGCTCCAGTGCCTCCAGCTCCAGAATGACTCCGAAGGCGGGTGCGCCGGGCAAGCCACTCGCGCAGCTGCTGTGGTGAGAGGGGCTCACGCTGGGGAGACCACTGCGGCGAGGCTCCCGGAAGACCACCAGCAGAAGCAGTACCACCGAGCTCTGCACCCCCAGAAGCAGCAACCCCAGGCTCAGCACGCTCAGGTGCAGTACCTCCAGGCTCAGCACCCCTAGGCTCAGCACCCCCAGGTTCCGCACGCTCAGGTATAGCACCCTCAGGCCCCGGACGCTCGGCTCAGCACCCCCAGAAGTAGCACCCCGAGCAGGACCACCCCCAGCAGCACCTGAGTCACCAGTGACCTCGACAAACTCAACCAAAGGAAGTGGGTCTACCTGAGAGACACCTGAAGGAGCAGGACCCTGAGGGGGGAGGGGGTCTACCGGAGGGGGACCTGGAACAAGGAAGACGAGGGGGGGGAGAGGGGCAGTGCGGTAGGGGAAGAGTCGGTAAAAGGGAACCGACTTGTCAAACGTGACGTCTTGAGAGGGGAAGATACGGCGCGAGGTGGGGTGGTAAAACTGCTAGCCAGGCGCGTCAGGGGGAAAGCCAAGGACGACGCAGGGAATGGCGTGAGCGGAGAGCTTGTCTGCGGTGGTATCGCGGACAAAGGCACGAGAGCCCCAGACCCGGAACCGCGAAGCATCGCCAACCTTCCTCGTCCAACGCAGTGTGGGCGAGGTCTCCGGCAAGGACACACGAGGGCCAGAGGTTGAGCTGATGCGCAGCGTACCGGACCGCAAACGGCCACAGAAAATGGGGAGCAGCCGCATGGATCATGGAGGTACGGGCCACCTCCATGACTAAGCCAATGCGGCGCTCAGCAACCCCATTCTGCTGCGGTGAGGCCGGAAGCGTGAACGACTAGAGGATGCCCTCCCCCTGACAAAAGTCCCGCAAGAGGTCGGAGGAGAACTCACCACCTCTGTCAGAGTGCAGACGCAGGACGAGAAGGTCCGTGCGGAACCGCTCGCGGAGCTGGAGACGTACAGCGCGGATCCAAGGGATCAAAACAGTAGGGACCTCACCCTTGGTGCGCAAGGGGAAGACCGTGGTGTAACGCGAGTAGTCGTCGACAACCAACAGGAAGTACCGCTCACGGCCCAGTCCAGTGACGTGGGCTGGGCCCCACACGTCCATGTGGAGAGTCTGCAGGGGAGCAGTCGTCAGGGGAAACGAGGAGGAGTGAGTGTGAAAATGAGAACGAGGAATGATGTGACTAGCAAGAATGGGAGTACAAATATGCAACCCTAGAATTGTGTACCCCCTAAGGCTAAACCCACTGTAGCCTACAAAGCTACAACATATATAATGTTTGACACACCCCCATAGGCAAAGTGGGGGAGAACAAGGGGTCACAAGACCAGTCAAAGCAAAGAAAAGCAAGCTCAGGGTGGATCTCAATGTCACCACACATTCTGAGCACAAGTTCAAGGCCACAAGGCCAGTTCACATGCAAGATTACATATATATAACGCTAAACAAGCAAGAGCAGGATATATATATGTAACAGTACAAGCAAGGTCAAGAAGTGAGCAAGTGAGGCAAGGTAGGCACAAGACCTAACAGAGTACAGAAGCGCTGATGATCACAAGGCGCGAGTGCCTTAGTGAAGATATCAGCAGTGTTGGCCTGAGAGGCCACATAAGCAAGGCGCAGCTGACCACGCTGCTGCAGCTCACGAGCAAGGAAGTAACGCAGAGCGATGCGCTTCGTTCTGTGCTCCAGTCTGTGCTCCCGACACAAGGCCAGCATGGCCTTGTTGTCTACGTACAGCACTGGAGGAGAACGAGGCGGCTCTCCCAGGTCAGTCAGCAGGTAGGTGAGCCAGCGTAGCTCCTGTGCAGCCATGGCCCCTGCGTAGATCTCAGCCTCACAACTGGAGCCGAGAACAGAAGACGAGCGGGTAGACCGCCACGAAACAGAGCCAGAACCAAGGCTGAAGGTGTAACCCTGTGACGACCGCTGCGTAGCCTGGTCGTCAGCCCAAGAAGCGTCTGCGTGACCAGTGAGGACCACTGAACTCTGCCCTCCAAGCACAAGCCCCATGCCTGACGTACTGCACAAGTAGCGCAACACCCTCTTCGCTGCAGCCATGTGCTCTGGTCTGTGTCTCCCAGGAGCAACATAGCGTGCCAGAATGCTAAGAGGGTATGCAAGGTCAGGTCGAGTGCAGGTCATCAGGTACATGAGGCAGCCAACAAGCTCTGGGTACGGGCCACTCGACTCTACGGACTCATCCGAAGGCAGAGCTGAGAGCGAGTGGCGTGTAGGCAGAGGAGTGGCCTGAGGCGAGGAGTACGTGAAGTCGAAGCGCTGAAGGACCTGCTGCACCATGTGTGACTGAGTCAGGGTAATGGTGTGCTGTGCTCTGTCCCGGGTGATCTGCAAGCCAAGGTAGCTGCGCAGTTCACCCAGGTCTGTGCACGTGTGTCTCTTCTGCAGCTCGGACTTCACGTAGGCGAGTCCAGCAGTGTCAGCTGTAGCAAAGACCAAGTCGTCGACGTACACGAGGATGTAGAACGGCGGCAAAGAGGTGTCAGTGCGCAGAAATAGCGACGGGTCGGCAGTAGAAGGAGCAAACCCAAGAGCCGCAAGTGTAGTCCTCAGTGTGTCGTGCCACTCACGAGGCGCCTGGCGGAGACCGTAGACTGGCCGCCGGAGGCTCCACTGGGTGCCAGGAGGAAAAGTCCCAGTGAAGCCAGGTGGGCGGCGTAGCCAGATCTCCTCGTGCAGGCTGCCCTGCAAGAAAGCAGTGCTGAAGTCAAGAGAGTGCAGCTCGTAGTCTCGGTGAGCGGCTATGTGCAGCAGTACCCGAAGAGTGGTCATCTTCGGGGTGGGAGAGAAGGTCTGAAAGTAGTCAACTCCCTGCCGCTGACTGAAGCCACGAGCCACGTAACGCGCCTTGAAGACAGGCGGAGAACCTGGCGGCCGCTTCACCCTGAAAATCCACATGCCACTAACGATGTTCGCCCCAGGCGGGGGAACCTCGTCAACGTAGGTGCCTGTGGACTTCCAGGAAGCCATCTCTGCGTCCATGGCTGCCTGCCACTGAGAGGAGTAGGGACCCTCTATCGCCTCCGCGTAAGAGCGCGGAGTCGGGATGTCAAGTGCATCCGGGTCTCCCTCAGGGGCAAGCAGCACGGACACGAGATGAGGTGAAGCAGCAGCCAAGCACTGGAACTCCTCCTGCCTGTCCTCAAGGACGTCCGTGCCAAGAGCACACTCACCCCCGACGGACGGAGGACAGACAGACTCAGACTCAGCAACAAGACTGGCGGCGTAGTCTAGACGACAGCGAGCAGCGAAGTCGACAAGCTCAGCAACTAGGGCAGACGCAGCAGTAGACTCAAAGGAAGGGTCAGTGACGACAGTAGCAAGGAGACGCGTGACAGTAGGACGCGCAGCACGAAGGGAGTCCGACTCCGGGTCAGGGAGTGCAGGAAGAGAGGACTCGGGAGGAGAAGGCAAAGGGGCACGCAGTGGAGCAGTGGAAGGACGCAGAGACATCCGGTGCGTGCCGGGGACAGGGGGAGGACGCTGACGCGAACCACGACCACTAGTGCGAGCAGCACGGACAGGCGACGCAGGGCGAGACGCAGGCTCACGACGCTCAGCAAGACCTCCAGTAGGACCAGTGTAGGGAGAAGGAGAAGGAAGCGGGGAAGGTGGCTGTAACTGTGACTCAGACTGGACAGGAGGCGGACACTCAAAGCCAAGAGCAGGACCAAGATAGGATGGAAGGCCAAGAACCTGCTCAAGGAGCGGAACGAAGTACGGCCGTGGCCGCGCAGCGCCACCAGTGCCAGCAGGAACAGCACCAGTACCCCCAACGGCAGCACCAGCACCAGGAGTACCCCCAGCTCCAGCAGCGCCAACTCCAGCACCCCCAGAAGCACTTGCGCCAGTAGCACCTCCAGTGCCAACACCCCCAGTAGCTCCAGCTCCAGTCGGACCAGCAGCACCAACGCCAGTAGCACCAGTAGCACCACCAGCTCCAGCACCAGGAGCACCCGTAGGCCCAGCAGCTCCAGTACACCCTGTACGAGCACCTCCGGGACCCGCTGCACCAGCACCCTCAGCAGCAGCAGAACCTCCAGCGTCCGTAGCACCGCCAGCTCCAGCAGCACGCCTCCAGCGCCGGGCAAACCACTCACGCAGCTCCTGTGGAGAGAGTAGCTCCCGCCGGGACGAAGCACCCGAAGAACCTCCAGGCCCAGCACCACCAGACGCCACACGAGCAGGCTGAGCACCCTCAGGCTCCGCACTCCGAGACACAGCACCCCCAGGCTCAGCACCCCCAGGCGCAGCACCCCCAGGCTCAGCACCCCCAGGCGCAGCACCTCCAGGCTCAGCACCCCCAGGCTCCGCACCCCCAGGCGCAGCACCTCCAGGCTCAGCACCCCCAGGCTCAGCACCCCCAAGCTCAGCACCCCCAGTCGCAGCACCCCCAGACCCAGCACCCCCAGGCTCAGCACCCCTAGCAGCACCAGAGTCAACAGCTACCTCGACAGGCTCGACCGCATCTACCTGGGACACACCTGAGGGGGCAGGACCCTGAGGGGGGAGGGGATGTACCGGAGGGGGACCTGGCGTAAGGAAGAGCGGCGGGGGAGGGAGGGACGCAGCGCGGTAGGGGAAGAGACGGTAGTAGGGAACCGACTCGTCAAAGGTGACGTCCTGGGAGGACAGAACACGGCGCGAGGTGGGGTGGTAGAACTGCCAGCCTGGCGCGTCAGGAGGGAAGCCAAGGAAGACGCAGGGAACAGCACGAGAGGACAGCTTGTCCGCAGACAAGTCGCGGACAAACGCCCGAGATCCCCAGATGCGGAACGCAGACGCATCGCCAACCTTCCCCGTCCACAGTAAAGCAGGGGAGGTCTCCGGCATGGAGACCCGGGGGTGAAGGTTGATCTGATGCGGCGCGTACCAAACCGCAAACGGCCACAGAAAATGGGGGGCAGCCGCATGGACCATGGACGTACGAGCGACGTCCATGATCATGCCAATGCGGTGCTCAGCAATCCCATTCTGCTGTGGAGAGTCCGGAAGCGTGAAGGTCTGGCGGATGCCTCGTGCACGACAGAAGGCCCGCAGAAGGTCAGAGGAGAACTCTCCGCCTCTGTCGGAGTGCAGACGCAGAACAGGAAAGTCCGAGCCGAAACTCTCCCTGAGCTGGAGACGAGCTGCGCGGATCCAGGCGATCAACACCTCAGTGACGTCACCCTTGCTGCGCAAGGGGAAGACTGCGGTGTAACGCGAGTAGTCGTCAACCACCAACAGGAAGTAACGCTCGTGACCCTGCCCACGGACGCGGGCTGGGCCCCACACGTCCATGTGAAGCGTCTGCAGCGGAGCCTCTGTCGGAGGAAACTCGGAGGAGTGAGGAGCAGCGCGCTGCCGCCCCTCGACGCAGGGAACGCAGGTGGGGGCCCGGAGGAAGGGGAGGGAGGGACCGGGGGAGGCCAGAGACAAGAAGACGGGAAGCCATGCCTCGAAGACGAGGCAGGGAGGGGTGACCAAGGCGGTGGTGCCAGAGAAGAGTCTGGTGGGACAGGAGACGACACGAGCAGGGGGCAGACTCAGGGCCAGACCTGGACGCCGCAGCAAACACCTGACCCGACGCTGCTACCTGAGCAGACTCAGCGACTGGAGGAGACTCAGTAGTCAGTGTGTACAGGCTCGACCCCGGACGACGGGTAAACGTGGCCAAGTGACGGCCCAACTGAGCACAGGTACAGTGGGTCACTCGCTGACTCGCAGGAGTGAACTGGTGAACCCCTGCATCCTGGAGGTCAGCA